TCTTGAATCTCCCCACCTGCTCAGTTGAATCTCTCCACCTGCTCAGTTGGATCTCCCCACCTGCTCAGTTGAATCTCCCCACCTGCTCAGTTGAATCTCCCCACCTGCTCTGTTGAATCTCCTCACCTGCTCAGTTGAATCTCCCCACCTGCTCAGTTGAATCTCCCCACCTGCTCAGTTGAATCTCCCCACGTGCTCAGTTGAATCTCCCCACGTGCTCAGTTGAATCTCCCCACCTGCTCAGTTGAATCTCCCCACCTGCTCAGTTGAATCTCCCCACCTGCTCAGTTGAATCTCCCCACCTGCTCAGTTGAATCTCCCCACGTGCTTTGTTGAATCTCCCCACCTGCTCAGTTGAATCTCCCCACGTGCTCAGTTGAATCTCCCCACGTGCTCAGTTGAATCTCCCCACCTGCTCAGTTGAATCTCCCCACGTGCTTTGTTGAATCTCCCCACCTGCTCAGTTGAATCTCCCCACCTGCTCAGTTGAATCTCCCCACCTGCTCAGTTGAATCTCCCCACCTGCTCAGTTGAATCTCCCCACCTGCTCAGTTGAATCTCCCCACCTGCTCAGTTGAATCTCCCCACCTGCTCAGTTGAATCTCCCCACCTGCTCAGTTGAATCTCCCCACCTGCTCAGTTGAATCTCCCCACCTGCTCTGTTGAGTCTCCTCACCTGCTCAGTTGAATCTCCCCACCTGCTCAGTTGAATCTCCCCACCTGCTCTCTTGAATCTCCCCACCTGCTCAGTTGAATCTCCCCACCTGCTCAGTTGAATCTCCCCACCTGCTCAGTTGAATCTCTCCACCTGCTCAGTTGAATCTTCCCACCTGCTCAGTTGAATCTCCCCACCTGCTCAGTTGAATCTCCCCACGTGCTCAGTTGAATCTCCCCACCTGCTCAGTTGAATCTCCCCACGTGCTCAGTTGAATCTCCCCACCTGCTCAGTTGAATCTCCCCACCTGCTCAGTTGAATCTCCCCACGTGCTCAGTTGAATCTCCCCACCTGCTCAGTTGAATCTCCCCACCTGCTCAGTTGAATCTCCCCACCTGCTCAGTTGAATCTCCCCACCTGCTCAGTTGAATCTCCCCACCAGCTCAGTTGAATCTCCCCACCAGCTCAGTGAAGAAGTGAGAGTTCGTGGGAGTTGTTGGTGCTTCCTTGAGAGTCGCACCACTCTTTGCTAGGTTGGTGGAGTGGTGTGCACGGAAGCGAGAAGTCGATGCTGAGTTGGGTTGAGAAATTGGCGAGGCGCGTTCGCTCACCCACACACCACTTTCGTGGGGTTGGGTTACTCGCAGCGCCCACGCAACCTCTTGTGAAACTCTCGCTTGCCTATATACGTTTGTGTTGCTTGTGTGTTTGATATATATTTTTTCTATTTTCCTAGTGAAGTCCAAATGCTACTTCAATTCTCACCAAGTCCTTAGAGGTAAACGCTACCGAAACTCTACCAAGTTGCTGGCGCAACATCATTCCCATAGCAGAAACTCTCTCGTTATTGCTACGCTCTCTAATATATTCCTTCATGGTGCGGTGAGCGTGGAACGAACACGCATAGATTTACGTCGTCGTTGATATTCGCGTTCGTATACTCGCCTTGGCGTGCGGCGTTAGTGAAGGGCGCTTATTAATCTAAGTTGAACCTCTCTTGATTTCCCTCCAGTTACGTTCTCGGACCCAAGGATAGGGCGTTTGGTAATTTATTACCACTCGTCTGAGGACCCTTGTGAGGTGACCCCGAGACGAGGGATTTAAGGAAGGGGCACTTTATTTTAATTTGTGGTACCTTATAGAGACGTCGTAGAGGATGAGTACTGAGGAGGCGAACGTGGAGGCCGGTAATTTGCGCACTCTAGAGGAGGATCTCGTGGCTCGTCATTCTCGTGGTGAGATTAGTGATATTGAATACGAGCTAATGTTGGAGGGATTGCGCTCGCGTCGGCGTCGTGAGCACCCTTCCCCACGTGTAGAGAATGTTGAGCAAGTTGCGGGAGGTACTAGTGCGTGGGATATGGCTGTCGATGGCGGAAATAGCGATGACGAGGAGTTTGATGGGTTGATGTCGCGTGGGGTCCTGCGAAGACCAACTCGGTTTAGTACGGCTAGCGTCGGCGGTGTACAGGAGCGTGTTCATCGTGCAGCAGCGTCACGAGAGCATGCGAATGTAGGACGGCGAAGCGTTGCTGGAGGAGGAATTGCGGAAGAGTTCGATAGTGAGACTATGCCGGGCGTTACCCCGATTGGATCGATGTCGAGGGACGAGGGAATAGCCCCCAACTATGGCTACTTCAGATTCACTCCAGACAAGATCGTTGTCACTAGTCCGTTAGAAGGACGTCACGACCTGTCGACGTGGACAGAATCAATCGAGCCGCAGCTTGAGATCGCTCAGCTAAAGCGATTCATAGATGGCACCACCCCTATTCCACCAGCGCGTGCGCTTGCGCATCTCTCTCAGTTCCGCGCGATGTAGTTGCTGACATTCACCACCATTTCCCGATGCTGCTCCCCAACCGTACAGATCGCCCTTAAGGCGTGTCGCATGAAGGTTGATGCCGGCTATAAGGCATGGCAGTTTATTATGCGCACGTACATGGCGAAGGACGATCTGTACATCGGTCAGTTAGAGCAGGCGCTCACTAACCTCGAGATGGGAGAGCACGAGTCCGCTACGTCCTATTGCAACCGTGCGCAGCAGATCCTAGTGAACCTGAGGATGGCCGGCGTAGATTACTGACAAGCGTCGTACATCACTCACGTGGTGAAGGGGTTGCCGCAGCAGTACAACCTCTTACGCAGGATGATGAAGTTGCCGCAGGTGCGCAAGGAGTTGGACGAGAACACCCTCGCTAGCTACATCATCGAGGAGGAATGTACGCTGGCGTCAGAGGGACGAAAGGACCAATTCCTTCCCCAGGCTAACCAGGTCTTTACCAAGAAGGGTAAGCCCCAATTCCAGCAGAATTCGTTCCCTTCCCCTCCCACTACGGCACAGCAGCAGCAGCCTAAGAATGGGGGTGGGCTTAGTGGGGGAGGGGAGAAGTGGAAAGGGGGTAAGGATGGCCAGCCGAAGGGGGGGAAAGGGGGTTTCAAAGGGAAGTGCTATGTGTGTGGACAAATAGGGCATGTTGCTAAGTACTGTCAGCAGCGGGCGGATAAGGAGGCAGACACCGGTGGAGAGGGTTCTGGAGGTAGCAGCGGAAAGGGGGGTGATGGCTCTAAGGGGAGCGGGCAATCATCATGTGCGATGGTGAAGCCCGTTGTGGAGCAGACTCCTCTCGTTGTGCTAGAGCTTGAGGGCGGGGAGGCCTTATAGGCTGTTGCAGCTGCTGTAAAGGCGAACCCGAGCGTCGTGCTGCTTGATAGCGGATGCTCCCACCATCTCATGGGAGATCGTTCTGCCTTTGTGGAGATGAGCAGCGGCGGCAGTATTAAACAGGTTACTGGCTTCAACGGCGCGCTTCAGGAGGTGCAGGGGCGGGGCACAATCGCTCTTCTTGGAGAGGGGGGCAGGCGTGTCTTGGTGCCGGACGTGCTGTACGTACCAGGAGTGCAGGCGAGTCTTCTCTCTGCTGGGCAGCTGCGTGATAGTGGTGTGCAGCTGCTGGATGCCGGGGATGTGACTTTGCTGCGAGCACCAGATGGATCGCTTCTTGGTCGTGCGGAGTTCAAGGGGCGTGTTCTCTGCACGAACTTCCAGCCGTGTTCGACGCAGCAGCAGGAAGGCGAAACGGTGGCACTTCGTACCTTGGCGACGGGCGTGCGGTCTAAGGGGGACCTGTGGCATGCGCGTATGGCACACGTTGGTATTGATGCCATCGAGCGCACAGCGGCTCACGGGTCAGTGAAGGGCTTGGATTTGGAGAAGGGGGGCAAGTCAGGCATACCTTGTGTTTCCTGTGTTGGGGGAAGGATCACTCGTCATACCTTTCCTTCTGTGGGAGAGGAGGAGGATGAGTTGCTCGGGGTGGTGCATGCTGACCTGTGTGGCCCTTTCCGTGAAGCAGCTAAGGACGGCAGCCGCTACTTCTTGGTGCTGAAGGATCGAAAGACGCGATATGTCTGGGCCTACCCTTTGGCCCGGAAGAGTGATGCGCTGGCGGCGTTCCAGAAGTGGCTCCCGATGGCAGAGCGACAGTGCAAGACCACGGTGCAGGCGCTGCGCACTGATCGGGGTGGCGAGTTCCTGGGGCACGACTTCACGCTCTTCCTCGACGGTAAAGGCATCATCCATGACCTCACATGCCCGTACACGCCGGAGCAGAACGGGATGGCCGAGAGGGAGATGCGCAGCATTGTGGAGGCGGTGCGGACGATGTTGCTGCACATGGGTGTGCAGCATCACTGGTGGCACCTGGCGTTGGCTCAGGCCGTCTGGGTGCGCAACCGCGTGGAGCACGCCTCACTACCCTCTGGTGTGACGCCGTACGAGCTCGCCTTTCGACGCAAACCTGATGTCAGTATGGTGCGTGTTTGGGGCTGCATGCTGCAGTACATGGTACCACGGTCGCAGCGTGGGGGGAAGCTGGCGCCTAAGGCTCGCTGGGGGTTGCACTTGGGTGTGTCAGCTGCGAGCAAAGGCTGGACCGTGCTGGACTTGGAGTCCAACCGCCTCATCACCACTGTGGAAGCTGTGTTCTATGAGACCATGTCCCTAGCAGGATGGAAGGCTTGGCATCAGCAGGAGCATGGGGGGCGTTCGATGCCCTATGAGCCCCTTCCCTCACTCTTCCCGATCACTCTCGAGGAGGCGGAGGAGGAGGAGGAGGTGGTCGCACCTCCTGCTATGCCCTATGTCCCTACCTCGGTCCCCACCCCACCTCCGCCTTCCGTCTACCCTCGTGTGATTCCCCCTGTCCCGCCTTCTTCCTCCTCACCCCCCTTGCCTCCCCCTCCTCCTCCTGTTATTCCATCTCCCCTTTCACCCTCCATCCCTCCTGCACCTGCTCCGCCCTCCTCTTCGTCTTCCACGGCGCAGCCCGTTGGTGAGGGGGGGATGGAGGTGCCACCGTCTGTGGAGATCACCGACGGGCAGCGCCTTGAGACTGAGCAGCTGCAGGACGAGAGCAGTATGGATGGAGTACAGCAGACAGGGGAGCAGCAGATTGGGGAGCAGCAGACAGGGAAGCAGCAGAGTGGGGAGCAGCAGATAGGGGAGGAGCGGATTGAGGAGCAGCAGATGGTGGACCAGCAGCTCGGGGAGCAGCAGACAGGGGAGCCGCAGACAGGGGAGCAAGAGATGTGGGGAATTAGAGATGGTGGTCGTGTGTTGGTTTCTGGGACGACCACTGCACCAGTGCGTCGCTCCACTCGCATCACTCGTGGTGTCCCGCCTGTTCGATACGCTTGGGCTGTAGTGGTTGAGCCAGCGGGCTTGGATGACGAGGAGGAGGACGAGGAGTGGACTGACCTGGACCCGGACGTTGCAGCTGATCCTGAGAGGCAGTGGGACATAGCGAAAATGACAGTGAAGGAGGCCTTGGGCTGCTGGAAGGGCGACAAGGTGAAGGAGGCGATGGATGAAGAGATGCGGAGCTTGATTGAGCAGGGGACGTGGGAGTTGGTTTCGCGTCCACCAGGGGTGAATGTGATGAAGAACCGCTGGATTTTGAACACCAAGTTCCGACCTGATGGGATAGTGGAGCGTGAGAAGGCGAGGCTGGTGGTGAAGGGGTTCACGCAGGTGGCAGGGGTGGACTATGAGGAGACGTACGCCCCTGTGGGAAGCTATGTGACGGCGCGTGTGCTTCTGGCGATTGCAGCTGCACTTGATTTGGACCTGATGCAGCTCGATGTAAAGAATGCGTTCCTCCATGGCGTGCTGGACCGAGACCTTTACATGGAGCAGCCGAGCTATTACGAGGATGGGACTCCTCGTGTCTGTAAGTTGGTGAAAAGTCTGTATGGGCTCAAGCAGAGCCCGATGCTATGGTATGAGGCCTTGGATGGGGTGCTGCTTGGGGCTGGATGGAAGAAGAGCAAGGTGGATGAGGCTCTGTACTTCAAAACTGATGCTGAGGGGGAGATGTGCTGGCTGCTGGTGTATGTGGATGACCTGCTTGCTGCCAGCCGCAGTCAGAGCATGCTTGGGGAGCTGCGTGAGCTGCTGCAGAGTGCGTTTCAGCTGCGGGAGATTTGCCCTGTGGAGAAGTATCTGGGGTTGCAGCTGATTCGGGACAGGCCTACGAGGAGGCTATGGCTGCACCAGAGGGCCTATGTGGACAAGGTTCATAGGCGCTTCTTTGACAAGGAGCAGCCGCTGCGAGTGCCTCGCACCCCTCTTTCCTCTGACCCTTTCAGTGTGCAGACCTTCGAGGATGTGGGATGGCAGTCTCGCCAGGAGGAGGAGTACAGGCAGAAGGTGGGATCCTTGCAGTTCGCGGCCTGTACCACCCGTCCCGACATCTCGTTCGCCTGCAGCAAGCTGGGGTCGGGCCAGACTGTGCGGAGTGATCAGCACTAGAAGGAGTTGGACCGGTGCTTGACGTACTTGGTGGGGAGCAGGGATGTGGCGCTGGAGTTTGGAGGTGGGCCGGAGTCCTTGGAGCTGGTGGGCTACGCCGATGCTGATGATGCAGGGGACAAGCAGAACAGGACCAGCACAGGTGGCTATGTCTTCGTGCTCAGGGGTGCTGCTGTCTCATGGGCAAGCCAGAGGATTCGTTGCGCCACCCTCTCCTCCACTGAGTCTGAGTATGTTGCTGCTGTGGAGGCCGGGAAGGAGGCGCGCAGGCTGCGCTTCCTGCTGGCAGAGTTTCAACTGCTGAGGAGTGAGGAACCCACTACTCTCTTTGTGGACAACTCCTCCGCCATTTCAGTGGCAGGTGGCATGGGGCTCAAGGGGAGCCTCAAGCACATGGAGCGTCGCCACATGTGGCTGCAGCACATGGTCAAGCGCAGGAAGCTGCAGTTGCAGTACATCCCTACGAGCGAGCAGCCTGCTGACTACCTCACGAAGGCATTGCATTTCCCCGCCTTCAGTCGTTGCTTCGAGGCTGTGGGGCAGGTGAGGCTTTCGAGTGCGGGGGGTGAGACCTAAACACTCCATGATGTGGATGGTGCCATGGCCTATCCATGGCTGGTGCGGTGCGTGTTTGCACTTTGAGAGTGCTTCGTTTGTGTGTGTTTCCCTTTGTTTTGGCGTGTACGTGTGTATACATGCCCTGTGATTATAAAGGGCCTTGCTGTAGTATGGCAGGGGAGTGTTAGAGGGCCCTACAACAGCAAGGGCCCTCGATGACCTTTGACTTGGCAGGTCGACGCCTAGCGACTGAGTCTACTCGGCACCGACGAATGAGTTCGATGGAGGTCGCATGAAGAAGTGAGAGTTCGTGGGAGTTGTTGGTGCTTCCTTGAGAGTCGCACCACTCTTTGCTAGGTTGGTGGAGTGGTGTGCACGGAAGCGAGAAGTCGATGCTGAGTTGGGTTGAGAAATTGGCGAGGCGCGTTCGCTCACCCACACACCACTTTCGTGGGGTTGGGTTACTCGCAGCGCCCACGCAACCTCTTGTGAAACTCTCGCCTGCCTATATACGTTTGTGTTGCTTGTGTGTTTGATATATATTTTTTCTATTTTCCTAGTGAAGTCCAAATGCTACTTCAATTCTCACCAAGTCCTTAGAGGTAAACGCTACCGAAACTCTACCAAGTTGCTGGCGCAACATCATTCCCATAGCAGAAACTCTCTCGTTATTGCTACGCTCTCTAATATATTCCTTCAGAATTCCCACTGTAAATTGCGCCGCGAGGCGCGTGACGGCGAGACGCTCATCCCTTCGCGCGCGACTTTTACATGCCACCGCACCGCACTGGTAGTGATTGATCCCGTCCACGCATTCGCCGTGGGCGGAAACACCGCTGCGTCGTGGCAGCAGTGGAATGAATGCGCGTTTCGCTCTCAAATAACGGTCTCTTGGCTGACGGCCTCTCAGCTGACAGCTGCTGAGAGGACGGCGCGCAGGGCATTGTGGCGCATAGGGGTGCGAATCCGAGCAGCATGTGACATTGTTGCCGCATCCCCTCCCGTGTTACATCCACTTATGCCACTCTGCCTGCCTCCCTTACCGCATGCATCTAGTATGTCGCATTAGCTCGCCTCTGCTTGCCGATGAGGCTGAATGAAAGCGAGAACAGCCTTCGGGTGCTGATTGCCAATATCAGCTGTCTGCCATTCCCCCTCCTTGCTCAGCCTCTGCGCTTCCCTCCCCCTCCCTTTTTTCCGTTCCACACCACCAGCACCATGTTCAGCTCATCTCCACCACACACACACGATAGCATGGGAGAGCTTCAGGCTGCGGAAGCAGTCGTGGTGGGGGTGAAGTTGGTAGCAGGGAGTGGGTGGCGGCGGGCAGCAGCAGTGGTGGCGGTGACGAGTGAGGAACCAATGTGTCAGCTTTGTGCTTTCTCTCCAGGTATGGCTAATCCGCTATCCGAGTCAAACCTGCACATTAACGCCACGCGGGTATAGATTCGTTGACAAAATAGTGAAGATGAAGGCGACGCAGCCAACATTCAACCGCCCATGATGGGCGCAAAGCTGATGAGATGAACAACGTAATTAGCAGCTTGCTATAGAGATAACGTGCCATCCTTCTTCGATGCAAGGTCTCTAACCGCGGCTTTGGCAAGCATGATGGCTACGCCCGTCCCTTCCTCATATTGTCTTTGCTCTTGTCGCCGCATTCACTATACATAGTTTTGTCACCCTAATTTCCTGGCTCCTTCCATTTCTTCGCTTATCCGCCGGCTAAGCAGTTTGGCTTCTGGCGCTAGTTTGGTACGGAATGGATCAAATAACTGCTTTTCTGTGCAGTGCCACCAGCTGTCATCCACTCCCCCCTCCTCTATCAGTACGACGCCCCCACCTCCTTCCCTCTCTCCTTCCGCACTCCCGTCCCGCTCCCACACTTCGTATCATTCTAAGGTTGAACTGTCCACCAAGGCGAGGGGCGTGAACCCTAAGCCGTCTCGTCGTGCCACTGCCTTCGTGTGCGACCGCAGTCCCACTGCTGTCTCGTTCCGCGCTGAAATTGCCGCCGCATTCGTGGTCGTTTGACACACCCGTGCGCCGTGGCAGCAGGCGAAATGCACGCGCGAGATGAGGAATCTGAAATTGAGGCTAGGGATGGCAACAAAGAGGTGAGATGCCCATTCGGATGCAATGGGACCGTCACTCTGCACCACCGCATTAGAAGGGAACGGAGGACAGGCAGAAAGCATCAGTAGATCTGGCAGCATTGATCTCCCCCCTCATCTACCACCTCCTCTTCCTCTGCTGCTAGCACTTCTGATATAGGTGGTACTGGTGCAGGTGGTACTGGTGCAGGTGGTACTTGGGCAGGTGGTACTGGTGCAGGTGGTACTTGGGCAGGTGGTACTGGTGCAGGTCGTACTGGGGCAGGCGGAGCTGCAGGAGGAGCAGGTACCAGTAGCAGTGGCAGCAGCAGCACTGTCGCCAGCCTGGCGGTGATAAGCAAGCAGCGGGCGGGCGGACAGCAAAGATTTCAGACGAGGATCTTCTCCGCCTGCAGCGGCTGGCAGAGCTGCAGGCGGGGGTGGTGCGGGTGGTGGGGGCGTGCTGTGGCAGGGACAGCAGCGGGGTGGCTCTGGTGGGGACGGCGAGGAAGGACCCGTGGAGTACACCGTGGCAGGGATCAGCCGCTGATCAGTGCTCCCAGCGACGGCACGACGAGCAAGTGAGTGGTATTTTGGGAAACTGCGTGTATGGGGGTGTGTGGGGAAGTGCGTGCTTCTTGGTTGAATCGGCCCAAGCGGCGGACAGAACTGCAGCTTTTGAGGCGCCTCAAATGGCGGCTGGCAGAGCTGCAAGTTTTGAGGCGCCACAAAAGGTGGAAGGTGAGGATCTGCTGAGGCTGCAGCGGCTGGCAGAGCTGCAGGTGGAGTTGGTGCTGGTGGTGGGGGGTTACAGTGGGAGGGAGAGCAAAGGGTGCAGTGGGAGGGAGAGCAGGGGGTTGCAGGGGCTGCTTGGAAGGCCCCTTGGACTGTGGCGCTGTTTGGTGCTCCCAGCGATGGCAGGACAAACAAGTGAGTGGTTGTTTGGGACAGTGTGTGCATGGGAGTGTGTGAAAAATGCGTGCATGCGGTGGGAGGAAGAGCAGCGCGTGCCTCTGGTGGCGGCTGGCAGGATGGCCCCTTGGACGTGGCGCTGTTTGGTGCTCTCAGTGACAGCAGAACGAGCAAGTGAGTGGTGGTTTGGGAGTGAGTAAGAGGTGGGATTAGAGAGGAGAGCGAGCATGTGAGGGATTTGTTTTCCCTTGAGTCCAAAAGAAAGGCGCCGTGGTGTTTGGCGCTGTTCGGTGCTCCCAGCGACAGCAGGACCAACAAGTGAGTGGCTCTTTGGGAGGGTGTGTGTGTGGGGGGGGTGTGTGGTAAAGTGCTTGTGCATGCGTGTGTTTCTTGTTCGAATTGACAGCAGCGCCTAGCGGAAGGTGAGGATCTGCCGAGGCTGCAGCGGTTGGCCAAATTGCAGCTGTTGAGGTGTCACAGAAGGAGGCTAGAATTGCTGCAACTGTTGAGGTGGTGCACGAGGTCATAAACTTCCCGCACCTGTGAGCTGCCAAGGTGCACTGACTGGTCATTTCTCTCCTGCAGGGAAGTTGATCACCTCTAGCGCCAGGTCGACTGTGGTGGGTTGAATGAAGTGACCGGAATTTTAGTCGACCTGGTGCTAGAGGTGATCAACTTCCCTGCACCATCTGATGTGCAAAGTTCCTTTTGTCATACTCCTCCCTCACTAACAGGCGCAGCATGGAGGTGACAGAGTTGCTAGTGGAGTGAGAGTTTGACCTGGCGCTAGAGGTGATCAACTTCCTGCACTGCCAGCCGTGCAGATCTGCCAGCCGTGCAGATCTATGCCAGCTTCCGATTCTTTCCTGACTGTTGGATGGGGTGGGCCCGCTTCCTTTTCCCAACCAACAGGCGGCAAGTGGAAGTGACGGGGCTCCGTGTCGAACGCGCTGGAGGTGATCAGCTTCCTGCACCTGCCACACTGCGAAGGTGCACTGGCTGATCTGATATGCCCCAGCTTTGCTCTCCTTCCCCCCCACCAACAGGCGCCGTGTGGAGGTGACTGATGTTTTGGTCGAGCGCGAGTTTGAATTGGCACTAGAGGTGATCAGCTTCCTGCACCAGCCAGCCGTGCAGATCAATGTCAGCGTGGCAGCCTCACTGGCGGAGAAGCATCAGCACCGCGTGCTGTTTGAGGGGCTTATGGACCAGATCAAATGCATGTTGCATGCACGCTGCCGCCCGCTGACATGGACGAGGTGAGCATAATTGGGAGTCTAGAGGCGTGTGTGATTCAGCGGTCTCATGGTCAACACACGCATCGTTTTGAGGCGTCTCAAGACTACGCCAGCGTGGCAGCCTCGCTGGCGGAGAAGCAGCAGCACCGTGTGCTCTTTAAGGGGCTCATGGACCAGATCAAATACATGCTGCCGCCCGCTGGCATCGGTGAGTTGAGCTGAGGGTTCGGAGCTGGGAGGTGTGAGGTGTGAGGTGTGAGCTGTGAGCTGTGAGCTGTGAGCTGTGAGCTGTGAGCTGTGAGCTGTGAGCTGTGAGCTGTGAGCTGTGAGGTGTGAGGTGTGAGGTGTGAGGTGTGAGGTGTGAGGTGTGAGGTGTGAGCTGTGAGCTGTGAGCTGTGAGCTGTGAGCTGTGAGCTGGGAGCTGTGAGCTGTGAGCTGTGAGCTGTGAGCTGTGAGCTGTGAGCTGTGAGCTGTGAGCTGGGAGACGAGTGTAATCCTTGCTCTGGAAAATCTTTGCATTGCTGAGGGAAGCAGCAGCACCAAGTGCTGTTTGAGAAGCGTATAGACCGGATCAAGTACATGCTGCCGCTCGCTGACATGGATGAGGTGAGTTTGTGAGTTGTGAGCTGGGAGACGAGTGTGTTCATTGCTCTGAGGGGTCTTTTCATTGCTCCAAGTCTTCATTCTGTAAGTTGAGAGAAGCAGCAGCAGCACCACGTGCCGTTTGAAGGGCTCATCGACCGAATCAGGCACACGTTGTTGCCCGCAGCCATGGATGAGGTGAGAAACGCAAGATGTAACAGTAAGTATTAACTTCCGTATAGAACCAACGCGATGGGGCGCATGGTTTGCATTGCAGCATCAAGTGCCTGCTGACTGACATGCATGAGGTGCGGCTGAATCATAAGTAGTACTGCTCTCTTTTGAGACGTCAAATAAGTAATGCTACTCTTTTCGAGAATGGATGAAAACACATACGGACATCATTTGCATTGTGAGTTTCGCATGCGTTTCCGAGCTTCGCTTTCTACGCTTGTTTCAGAATCTCGTTCCTCAAGCCTGATCCTCCTCTACCAAGCCTGATCCTCCTCTACCAAGCCTGATACTCCTCTACCAAGCCTGATTCTCCTCTACCAAGCCTGATCCTCCTCTACCAAGCCTGATACTCCTCTACCAAGCCTGACACTCCTCTGCCGTTTTGCCCCTCCTTTCAAATTGTGCACACGTGTCCACAGGTGATTGGAGCAGCAGTGATGGTCTACACCCACACTGCCATCAAGCTGTCAAATCTCTCCCTGACCTTCACCAGGCGGCAAGACATGTCCCGATCTGTGAAGCTGCCAAAGGAGCGGATCGACCGACTCATCCACATGCTGTCAGACTAGCACAAGTGAGTCTGTTACCATTGTTAGGTGCGTTTGCTATAAGTAACTTCTTTAGTCGTGTGAAGAAGTCGGCTGATCTGTGAAGGTGCCCAAGGAGCAGATTAACCAACTTATTCACATGCTGTTAGATGAGCGCAAGTGAGTGTGCTAGCATAAGTGTGTGTTGGTTTGAGTAAACCTATTACATAAGTGAATTTGTTTGCAGAAGTCTTTTTGCAGGAGTGAATTTGTTTACATAAGTAGGTTCGTGGCCACTCCCGTATCCCCCTGCTCAAGCCCCTCCACCTTCCAGGAAGGTTCTCTTCAATGTGGCATGTTGCAGGCTGCGCCTGGCCTTTCAGATCGCCACGGGGCACTTCCAGTCTCTACTCAGCCCACCCAAGGGGGTCTGGCAGCAGGAGCTCTCACCTCTGCCGCTACTGCCAGCAGCAGCAGCAGCGGTTGAGCGGGGTATGGGCCAGTGTACATGCTACAGAGTCGCATTAACGACATGATTTTCATCATACACGAGGCTCGAAGCGCATCCAAGGTTCGGGAGCACTGCCGGGAGTGGCTGGCTGGTCGGGGCGTTGTGATTGACACACACAGCCTCACTTGCTCCCTTACACTCACGCATGGCCTCTTGGGCACGGGTCACAGCAACCACATGCCCTGCATCAGTAGTTTAGCTGTTTTACTTTTAATGCCATATCGGAATGAATACTGCTGGGTGTTTGTGTGACCATGATCCCCGCTGTACGATCCTGAATACTAGATAGGGAGGCTCTCTTTCGCCCACAGCCACCTCAAGCCTTACCGTGTCACTGTCTGTGTGATGTTTTAACGGTCTCAAGAAGAACAAATTCTACCCAATGTGGTTCACAGAAAAAATGATGCACGGTACAACTAGTTCTGTGCAACGTGATCCAGAACGTATTGTGCAACGTGCACTTCCATATTAAACAGAAGGACAGATGCTAAGCAGCCATAGCTATGAGTGCATAGAAGGACAGATGGATTGTGGTAAGCGGTATGCAGGGTGACAGCTGGCAGGACGTTATGAGAGTGGACGACAAGCAGGCCGGCGGCAGCAATTCCAATGGCCATGTTGGGGAAGAGGAGCGTGAGGGAGAGGTGGTAGAGGGCGAAGAGGGCTGCAGACAGCATGGCAGCGTCAATTCTGATGGAGACGCAAGATGGGGATAGCGCGGGGAGGGAAGTTAGTCAAACAAGACTCGGCCTGCTGACTTGAATTGACTAGCATGACTCACGTTGACTTACAGTGACTTCAGTTCTAAGATGTAACATGACAGGCTAGGGTAAGAAAAAATGAAAGAAAGTGGAATTGGATTGCTGGGAATAAGTGTGTGCCTGGGGAGGTCTGTAATTACCAAACCCGGAAAAAAGGCAGCAGGTGGAGGCACAGCATTGCCAAACCTCCCTTCCGAGCCTCTCGCTAGCCTGCCTCTCACCTGCCGAGCCTCTCTCGCAGGGCCGTGAGAAGCACCCTCTGAACAGCAGCTCCTCTGCTACAGCCGGCGACACCGCCACCTACAGGAACAGCTGTAGCACGTCCACCAGGGGGAGGGCGGCAGCAGCTGTAGCAGAGGCAGCTGTAGCAGAGGCAGCTGTAGCAGTGGCACCTGTAGCAGTGGCACCTGTAGCAGTGGCACCTGTAGCAGTGGCACCTGTAGCAGTGGCAGCTGTAGCAGCCTTGGCACTCTTACCTGGCCGCCTCACAGACTTAGATTCACAGTGGGGAGGCAGAGACGCAGGCATTGGCATACACCCTCACACTCAGGCATGGACACTTAGGCCCGGGGCACATTGGAAGCCGGCGACGCCTGTCAGCACCAGCCCTACAGTTTCATACCAAACTTCTCCTCAAACTGCTTGTCTGTACATAGGAGAAACTGCTGCAAGCACACCATTTTCTTTGACCCCTCCAAATCCAGAAGCTGCCGCTCTGTAACTACTCTCTCCCCTGGCTCATCACTGGCTGCTACAACCCCAAACAACGGCCCACTCTTCCCTTCTTCCGCTCCCCATTCAATCCTCTCTAACCCCTCCACCTCGTCAGACACAGAACCCAGCTTGCTCCTCTCTTTCCCAGCTGCAATTGAAACATCCCTCTTGCCTCCACTCGTCCGAATAGCCATCTTGTGTGCCACAACCTCATAGCCCATTCGCACCAGTGCCACATGCCGCGGTCTGATTCGCCTATCCAAACTGAACCCAAGAAAGGACGGGTAGGCAAGCACCTCCTTTATAGAGAGCCCCATGTCCCGTTTTAAGTACTCCACCTTGGGCTTCAGGTTCGTTTCCCAGCTGCAAGCAATGCACTGTGGAGACCTCATAACCAAATCCACCACCAGCTGACGAGCCATGCATCTCTTGGAACCTAGTGCTGAGTATGGGGCTCGGGGATTATTTCCCCCTTCCAAGGAAACACCTCTGTCACCTTTCCCGCGCCCTCGCGACTCATTTTCCAATTCGCCAATTCTCTCCACTGCCTCTACTTCTACTTCTCGCACAAGCTCTCTAAAACACTCCTTTATGACATCTTCACTAGAAGTTAGTATAATCGGGCATCATGCCACCGCCCGCACAACATTCTCTCGGCCAATCAAATCACCCAATACCTCCACCTTCCCCTGCAGATTCTCCTCCGAGAGTTTCAGAACCACAGGGTAACTCCGCGCCAGTCTTCTTGTTGCCTCCTCCCCCACCAGCTCCACAAAGAACTGGAGCTTAGCTAAAAAGGTTTCTTTGGAAAGACCGAGGATGGTGGGGGCCCGCCAAAGCACAGAGGCAATGAAAGGGGTGTCAGAGGAAGTCAAGGACCGCGGCTCATCTAGTTGCTGACGCAGGAGGCTTGTGCTGGTGCTATCTGCTTCATGCTTCCCTCCAGGTCTTGCATTAAAGAAATATGATAACGTCTCAAGCAGTGTATTCACCGCATCTGTGCTCCGAGTCAAGATGGAAGGACATCCCTCTATAATCACACCCAACTTGTCCACAGGAACCCCTGCCTTCTCCACCAGAATGTCCAGGTTCGTTGAACGTTGCTCCCAGCAGAGTAAGTTGCGTCCACGTCGCAGCACAGAGCCCAATCTGCTTCGACGGACGCCTTGAGCCAAAAGAAACTCAAGGATGTTTTGAATCCGTGGAAGGGAGACTCGGAGCCAGGCTCCTCCTTTCTGAGTGATGTGGACGATGTCGGTACCGGATACGCCGTACGATTGGAGGAGACGAACACGTGGCAGGAAGTCATTGGTGGGATTCGAGCGGAGGAGTTGGGGGTTGGAGGCGAGAAGAGAAGCTACAGAGCTAGGGGAAGAGATGCCGAGGTGGGAGGAGAAGAAGCGGTAGAAGGAGCGAAGGGAGGACCGAGAGGTACCAAGAGTGGAGCGAGATGTGGTGCTTGATGAACCCTCCTCACTCCCTTCTGTTTCTGCTTCCTCTTCTCCTCTCTCCACCTCCTCTTCCCCCTCAATCGCTCCGATCCCAGCCGCCTCCTCCACCTCCTCTCTCACAATCTGAGGTCCAAACTTCGCCATCAACACTTGAGCTGCCACTGCCTCCTCCTCCTCCTCCTCCTCCTCGGATCCTTCCCCTTCTTTGCTCTTACTCCCGCTTCCGTCGCTACTTGCCTTCGCTTTGCCTGCTCTCCTCCCACGCCTCTTACCCCCAACTTCCTTGGTTCCCCCCTACTTTTCGTCAACATATTCTACGCTCTCCTCCTCTACTCTACCAGCTCCCACCTCCTCCTTCCCCACAACAACCGCCTCAAACTCCGTCTCAACGGCCGGATTATCATGGGCCGTCGGCTGTAATCTAGGGTTTGCGACCGCCGCTTATGGAGAGTCCGATGGCATGGAAGCGTATTCTGCACTGCATCTGATCGCAGCGCTCCGGTCAACCCTGATGAAGGCTTTCCATACGACGTGGTTCAATGTGACGAATCCGAGCTGGTACGGGCTTGTCAAAGACAGAAATGCAGATCTTAATGGATTCACGTGGTTCTTGTCTTGAGATCTGCAAGGACGAACACGGATCTGCGTGTATTCTAAGCTGCTGATCGACATGAATGACGGGGATGAAGGAACAACGCACGCCATGGTGAACACCGAGGAGCCGAATGTAAGATCAATGTCAACAACTCGCGGCTACGTTGAGCGGTTCGCCGTTCCAAGACCCTGTTATATTGCAGATTCTAACAACCGCTCGAGTTCTTCTTGATGGACAACTCTTCGTAGGAACCTAAGATCCTGGGTCCAGGAGTGATGCTCAAGAAATTGCTCCTGAACTTCAAGACCCGTGATAGGTCGACAATCGGGAATCCAGAAATTGAGACTGGGAAATCAGCTCCTAAACTCGGGGTTGCCACCTCGGGATTGTCGCCTCAAATTTCTCACTCCTTATCAGTCTCCTGGCGAAATCAGGAGAGGTAGTGTTCGAGAAAGGTCGCTACACTAGAAATTGTGTTATGAATGTGATCCCGGTCCAGCTAAAAAGGCTGGATTAGGATTGTTTCTCCACTGAAAGTCGATTCGCGATTTTGGTAACATGGTGTTACATCGGGAGTGTAGAAACCGAACCACTTTCTGCTACTAAAAATCAAAAACCTCTGTCAAAGTCTCAGGCTCGCCTTTAGAGCCGACGACTCGAGTGCATCATGTGTCAGCTGACTCGATTTCTTCTCGAGCCAAGTTCGCCATTTCACGTGTTAGATAGCCCCCCATCACTTCCTCATTCCCATCAGAGTTTCCCTGCCGTCGCTTGGCTTCCGCCAGATCGAGAAAGCACTCGTGCAGCAACTAATCGGGTCGCGCGTTTATAATTCGATTTGAGAAGAGTCCGCTTGGCCCAAAGGAAATAAAAAAAATGGACCTAATGCAGGAGTCATTGGCGGTTAGACGAAGGCGAGAATCGTAGATGCGAGCATCTTTCCGTTCCGCTGTTTTCGCGCGCGCCCGCAACTCCACTAAAAAATCAAGCGCTCACCGCACTCTCGCCGCATCCGCTGTGGGAGGACCGCTGCGCCATGACAGCAGGCGAGACGCAGGCGACATAGCCCATGTCAGTATGGCGTTTCTGGCGCTAATTCGCTGTCGCGGCAGAATGAATCTGAGCATCGTAATTCCCGTGCGTCCCATTCTGCATGTTCCGTGGCGGATGCACTGCCGGATCGTACCAGTGGGTGGAAGTTGCGGAGCCTTGCAGCTGACAAGCTCCCAGTGGCAGCAGAGCGACCATGGAGCGAGGTGAGAGAAACCGAAAAGGGAGGAATGCGCCTTCGCGCAGTCAGCAGCGAGTGGGTGGAGGCAGGCAAGAGGGAGGCGTGGGAGGAAGAAACGATCTCTCATAACGCGTGCATGCCTAGCACATCCTCTATTTCTGACCTAACCTAACCTGTATGCCCGACGTAGTTTGAATGCCTGACCTATCCTGTATGCCTGATTTAGCCTGAATGCTAACTTACCTTGTTTGGTTGGCCTAGGGTGTGTGTCTGACCTAGGTCCAGGCAGGAAGCTGATAGCCATTATTTGCATAAGCACTAGTTTCGTTGACAAATTTCATTAGGACTTCCCAGCTCCACTTCACCAATCCCTCATCCATCTCTCAGCTACCGTCAAAGCATCATGATTGACAGCATTCACAGTTCTGTGCTTTCTCTCTAGGTGGTATGGTATGATCTGCTATCCGACTCACACCTCCATAGTACGTCGCCTAGATTCGTTAACAAATAGGGTGTTACTGCGAATCGCTCTCGCGCCATATTCTTCTAATGGCTGATGGTGAACGCACCTCTGCGTCGTGGCAGAAGCTGGAATGAATGCGGGCGCCTGCTAACAGTCTCTCAGCAGACTGAGGTAGGTCAATGGTGAGAGGAGTTGCACATATACCACCATTGACCTGCCTCAGTCCGCTGCCCTACGCAAGTGAGAGGACTTGCAAAGGATGTGATGTGACGAAAATGAATCGTCCTCTCGAGATCCCATCCGATCCTGCTACTTGGATTCCCCCCCTTGCTTACCTGTCTAACACTTCCCCCTCCCTCCCTTCCCCCCCTCCGCCCTTCTTTCCCAACTCTTCCCCTTCCCACACCAACAGCACCTGCCCTGTACTTGTCGTGAGGAGCCCAGGTCATCGCTGCAGCGTACAGCCAGGCACTGAACCACTACCAGCAGCAGCAGCAGCAGCAGCAGCAGCAGCAGCAGCAGCAGCAGCAGCAGCAGCAGCAGCAGCAGCAGCAGCAGCAGCAGCAGCAGCAGCAGTGGTGGCAGTGAAGCTAGTCTGCCGTAATGAAGGCGGGCAGTCGCAACCTAGCTCTCGCAGCACCATCCCCCCCAGAAGCAGAGTGCACTTGCAAAATCGCGCATGGAGACCACTTGACCCGCTGTTTGCTAAGCCTCACCTTGCCACTCCACGCGGCTGCTAAGCACACCATGCCTCCCGGGGATTCTCCCAGGCGGCGCTGCTGGCCCCCGGGTGGTGGAAGTGCCTTTGTCTACTGCTATCAAGTCACTGGCAGCGGCACTGGGTCGGTGCGTGGAGGACGCGTAGCGTAGACTGTGGTGCAGTGCGGTGCGCCGTTGCTGACATGTCCCGGCAGCAGGCCACATTGCAGGTGGTGCCGTCGTCGGCCGCAAAAACTCCTCGGAAGACGGGATGGGGGAGGAGGGGAAGCAGGGCGGGGAGGGCGAGGGGGAGGAAGTCGTGGTTGGTGGAGCATGTTCTGCAGCTGCTGCTGCAGCGAGCGATGCGAGCCAAGGTGCGTCACGCCGGTCAAGATGAGTTATGCCAGGACAACCCCCTTTTCGGCATCCATGTCACGTTTTTTTCACTTGGCTACTCCGCATGCCAACCATCATATTCTGATGCCGTCTCCCCTGTCCTCCTGCACTCCCCTTCTCCCCCTGTTCCCCCCCAAGGCCCCCACTGTCCCGCAGGTGTTTTTGCCGCCTTCCTCGTGGAAAGGGCGGAGCTGGCAGTTCACAATTCCCACACCAGCAGCAGCGTGTGCACGGCGTGTGTGCCACTTGGACGTCGCGCGTGTGTACCTGCCATCCAACCTGTTCATCGCATCCCACGCCGTGAACTCCGCTGCTGAATATTTTGCTGAATGCGACGCTTGCCAGAATTCACACGTGGCAGAGTCGCCCCGCGCCGCCCTCGAGGAACACCTGTTACCTGCCACCTGTTACCTGCCACCTGTTACCTGCCACCTGTTACTTGCCACCTGTTACCTGCCACCTGTTACCTGCCACCTGTTACCTGCCACCTGTTACTTGCCACCTGTTACCTGCCACCTGTTACCTGCCACCTGTTACCTGCCACCTGTTACCTGCCACCTGTTACCTGCCACCTGATCCATGCACTGCTGCCTCCGCAATGTGCGCTCCTCAGGTGTCGCGTTGGGCGAGATCGAACGGGCTCGCCCGCAGCAACCAACCCCACAAGGGCGGACGATGTGGCATATTCAGGGGCAGCCTCAGGGATTGGTGGGAGAAGCAGGCTAAAGCTGCGCAAGGTCAGCGGGGAAGACTGTTTTCGCGGATCACATGCGAATGGCGCAGGAGGAGCGGGGTGCGGTGATGAGGGGGTTGAGGGCGGTGACGCTGGCGGAGTGGAGCAGGGGCGGAGAGGGCGCGGGATGGATTTTCAGGCGCTCGAGTGGGGAGCAGAGCAGGGTAGTGAGGGCGGATTAGTGAGACAGGCTGGGCAGTCGACAGGAGCCGCGCTGTCGGGGCCAATGCAGCTGCGACAACTACCCCACCCCTCTCCTCTCCGGTCCCCGCCTACCCCAGCTTCATACCCCCCAGCCACACCATGCTGGTAGGGCCGCCCGCGCCCCCGGACCACGCTATTCCCCCTTCCGTTTAGGGGAGATAGGGGGAGGGAAGATAGGGGAGACAGGGGAAGAGAAGGTGTGATTGTTGTGTTGCGCAGGAGTTGATTGGAATGTGGTGCCTCTGTGGTGCACCATCAGCCAACCACCAAGGAGGAGTGGGAGGGAGGGGAGGGGAGGGGGGAGATGGAGAGGGGAGGGGGGAGGATGGAGGGAACACATGAGCAGCATAGTAATGGAGGAGGGAAAATGGATGACAGCATGCAGTTGTGGTTATATGGTGAACGTTTGCAATTCTCAGGAAGAGCATAGAGCACGGCGAGGAAGTGAAGGGAGCTTGTGCGAGCTGGTCTGAAGGACGCGGCCTGGGGGGAAAAGCAGTTACTCAACCCAACAGCTGAAGTTCGTGGGTCAACGACTACGAGCAGAAATGGCCGGCCTTATATGCCGAGCCGTGGGCCGGTATCCAGCAAGGCGGTATCCAGCAAGGCGGTATCCAGCAAGGCGGTATCCAGCAAGCCGGTATCCAGCAAGCCGGTATCCAGCAAGGCGGTATCCAGCAAGCCGGTATCCAGCAAGCCGGTATCCAGCAAGCCGGTATCCAGCAAGGCGGTATCCAGCAAGCCGGTATCCAGCAAGCCGGTATCCAGCAAGCCGGTATCCAGCAAGCCGGTATCCAGCAAGCCGGTATCCAGGAAGCCGGGCCAGGCCCGGCACGTGCTCATGCCTGTTGTTCTCGAGTGGCCCCGCCTGTGCCTGTGCCAAGCATTTATGCAATATCCCACGGATAGAGTAGCATTAGACTGTTGCGGCCTTGCATTATCCCTCCCCCCTCCTCCATCCTCTCCGTTCCCCCCTCTCGCACTCAGCTTATGTGCGTTGGCAGTGTGTTTGTCCTCCATTGTTGTCCTTGCTTCGTTACCTCTTCCCCAACCCCCGCTCCCTTCTTCCCTCTCGTCCTTCCTCCCCGTCATTCTTCCTCTCTCACTCAGTTAAGTGCGGTGCAGACAATATGTTCATGTGCTCATGCCTGCGTTCCTTGCTGCCCTGCTTTCGTACGCCCCCTCACCCCTTCCCTCTTCCTTCCCGCCCTCCGCTCTCTCTTATACAGCTACTGTGCGTTGATTCTGACTGTGTGTTTGTGGGCACGTGGCACGGCATGGCATATCAGCGGAGGCAAGAACCATCAGTGGCGCCAAACAGTGTAGCCCGAAGCATTGTCTTGGCAAATACGAGCCACAAGATTCGCATGGTGAGGTGAGTGGTTGGGTGGGTGGTATGTGTGCATGTGCATGGTTTGCAGTGCATGGTATGGTTTTTGCAAGGCGTTTGTGGCCATATGGCGCCAGTGCATGGTTGAGTATGGGTACTCAACCAAGCATGTTCCTTTTGTACACCAGCCAACAACCCCTTCCCCTCATCTTTACCTCCCCTTTCCCTCCCCTTTCTCTCTTCTTCCCCTCCCCGTCCCCTCCCTTTCCTCTCCCCTTCGCAAATGCCATGTTTAAACCGCTATCTTAGTTTTAAAAGCTTTTCTATATTCTACCATGTTTTTTTGCTCCCCTTCCCCTCCCCTTCCTCTCCCCTTCTGCTCTCCTTTCGCTCCCCTTTCCCTTTCCCTCCGTCCCATCCCCCTCACCTCCCCCTCCCCCCCTCGTCCCGTCCCACTCGCCTCCCCCTTCCCTTTTCCCTCCCCCCCTTCTCCCGTTCCCCTCCCCTATCCCTCTCATCACATGCACCTGAATCAGCTCTGACCCGTCCAACATTGACACCCAGTACCTGCTTCTGTAGGGCGTGCCTTTCTGCCTTGCCATGAGCGTCAGGGAGGCAACAGCCCCGCTTTACCCTAATATGGTATGCCGCTTCAGGGGGCGTGCCTTTCTGCCTTGCCATGAGCGTCAGGGAGGCAACAGCCCCGCTTTACCCTAATATGGTATGCCGCTTCAGGGGGCGTGCCTTTCTGCCTTGCCATGAGCGTCAGGGAGGCAACAGCCCCGCTTTACCCTAATATGGTATGCCGCTTCAGGGGGCGTGCCTTTCTGCCTTGCCATGAGCGTCTGGGAGGCAACAGCCCCGCTTTACCCTAATATGGTATGCCGCTTCAGGGGGCGTGCCTTTCTGCCTTGCCATGAGCGTCAGGGAGGCAACAGCCCCGCTTTACCCTAATATGGTATGCCGCTTCAGGGGGCGTGCCTTTCTGCCTCGCCATGAGCGTCAGGGAGGCAACAGCCCCGCTTTACCCTAATATGGTATGCCGCTTCAGGGGGCGTGCCTTTCTGCCTTGCCTCCCTTGCTGCAGCAGAGAGGGCCTTCAGGTGAATGTGAATGGGGGTTAACGGGTGGTGGGGTTAAGGGGCGGTGTTGAGCGGCAGTGTGGGCGAGATGAGAACTGCTGCACCTGTTGTGGTGACTCGTGAGTCCATTGTTGAAACCGAGAATATGCGGGCGTTTATATGGATGTGCGCGGGAGCACTGATGGGCAATGTCGGCCTTCCCTACCAGCTGTCAGCACTCCCCGTTTCTCACCCAGTTTTCCATTTTCCTCCCTTCACCTCCCCCCTCCCTCCACCTCTCCCTCCCCTCCCCGCCACCCCCCCCCCCCCTCCCCCCCTTTCTCCCTATTCCATACTCCTGTCTCCCACCAGCTCAACAACTGCATCAGTTTGTTCATTGGGGGCAATCCACGGAGGGCAACGGGACTCCCTTCTTACCAGCTGGATCTCTTCGCTGCAGCCTGGATTGACTCACATGTGCCTCGATGCAGGGAGAGTGCGGCAGATTGTTCTGAATTTCCCGCTCAAGACGATCCGGCGTCAGTGCAGCTCTGAGTGCAGCAGATATTATTTCTTGGCGCCTAAAAAAACTACAAGTTCTTCAACAAAATGAATGTTTCGAAGTTCACGGCTCATCTCGTACCTTATCCCCACGCCTCACCCCACATCTCAACCCATGCCTCATCCCGTACTGTTGTAATTTCATATTTCATACAACATACATAGGCTAGAAGTGTAGCACATTCATAAATTGAGGGGTTGCTTAGTGTACCCTCCAACCACATTTTGTGGTTGGTTGGGATTGGCCCTTAGCTCAACCAATCCCAACCAACACACATTTGTGGTTGCTTGGGTCACAAGTGTTGGGCTGAACGTCCTAGGATCTCTAGTAGAGTTAAAGTCTGAGTAAATGATGTAGTAGCGGAAGCGTTAACAAAGAGATTCTGAACCACCTTGCGCTAGTATGTGAGGGCAAAGTACGTTGATTAAAGCAAAGAGATACAGGAATATATATATGAGTACAGAGAATATGGAGAGACATAATTGTAACTGTTTTACTGTTGTGGTTCGATACAGTGCGTCTCGGGCAACTGCTCAATGTCGAGTCAGTTGTGTGTCCTTGCTGTCACGCCATTTCTCCCTGTGTTGCTGAACTGTCGCAGGCTCTTTAGGAAGAGCATTGCCGTGGACTGCGGTGACGAGGCCGAGAATCTGCAGTCTAGTTTGTGAGTAGCGGGGGAGAGTTGTGTCCTCGGGATAAGTTGCTTCATCTCCCGCTTCTGGGTCGCGTATGAAATTCGGCCCTATCCGTTCTGCTTCGTTGGTGTTGACTATCGCAGGTGTTACGTAACCGTTGTCGGCGAAGTGGTAGAAGACTTCGGCGTTGGCGCTTTCGCGAGGATTTTCTTCGTCCATGGGGACGTTCACGGAGCAGAACGGTAGAGGTCCAGCTTCTTCTGATGCGTTGTCGTCGTTCTGCTCGTCCCAGTCTGCTTCGTCCGCTGCTGAGGCGAAGGCTCGGTCACCACGAAACCCACCTGTGGGGTCCTGATTTTTGCGCAAGTTGGCGAGGTACGTCTGAAGCGTGAGTCGTTCGTAGAAGATCACGTCACGTGCTGCTACTGTTTCCTTGGAGTGGACGTCGAAGATTTTCCACGCGTTGTAATTCTTTTTGATGCCGAGGTGTAGTCCCCATTGTGCGCGTTGTGAAAATCTTCCCGCTCGTGCTTCTGGGGGTTGGTACTGTACCATGCACCCGAAAACTCGTAACATTTTTGTGCTGCCCTGTTTCCCTGTCCACAGCAGATGCGGTGATGCGTTGTTCGGAAGTGAGGACGACGACATCAAGTTGTGCAGCATGACAGCGTGGTCCATTGCTGCAGGCCACTGGTGGTTGGGTAGCCGCATGCCACGTAGCAGTTTGCGCATGCTGTTCTGCAGAGTCCTGTTCATTCTTTCTGCGACACCTTGCTGCTGAAGAGCGTAGGGAAGGGAGAGGAGCTGCTTGATTCCTCTTTCCGCCAGGTACTGCTTGAAGCGCTGAGAGGTGTATTCTCCTCCTCCGTCTGACTGGAAGCTTTTCAGCTGTGCTCCCGACTCTCTCTCTGCTACTGGTAGCCAGGCGGCGAACGCTGCGAGTGCCATGTCGCGGCTGGGTAGGTTTAGGTGCCAGACGTATCGAGTGGCGGCGTCGATGAAGGTTATCGTGTAGTTGTAAGTAACTTGTCCTGGTTCTCGATTGAAGAGAATATCGCTGTACACCTTCTCGAGTGGTGCGTACGTGGGTGCGCTCGGGTTGTGGTGAGGAGTAAACAGTCGATGTGGTAAGTCGGCTTCGGGGCAGGTGAGGCAAGTTCCTCGTGCCCGTTGAAGTTCTCTGCCGTCGAGTAGTAGTAATGAATCCTTGTGTAGGACTCCTGCTCTTATTGTATTATTTAACACGGTGTTGCTTGGATGTCCCATGCATGCGTGCCAGATGTCTTCGGAGGCGTGGTGTCCGGGTGAGCGTCGATACGCATCGGAGTTGGAGTAGAAGCTGGCGACGAAGTTTGCGCTTCTGTGGACTTCTCGTTGAGTTGGGTTCAGCTGCTGTGCGAGTGTTGGTGGTGCTTCGTCAACGAGAACTGGTGTCGCGGACGATGGTTCTGCTACTGCCGATGATGTTGCTGCTGCTGCCGGATGTTGAATTAGTGCTAACGCGTGTGTTCGTTCTGCTTCAGGGATGGTATGCGAGTACCAGAAGCCTTCCGGGCTGAAGTCTGGATCAAGATCTGGAGGGTGCGTCCAGTCGGCAAAGTTCACGATGGCGTCGCTGTCTGCGGTGCCTAGGTCTGGGACGAAGTCAAGGACAAAGACGTTATTCTTCAGAACCGCCTTTCCGATGTAGAGGCCGCCCTTCCCGTGGTACAGTTTGAACTCCTGGGTGGTGCTGTTGGCTTCCAGGTGTATGCCTTTCGCCATCAGCTGACTGACGCTCAGTAAGCTGTAGCCGAGTCCCTCTGCTATTAGTGTCAGAATATATTTGCTGTCTAGCCTGCAGTGGGGTACTCTGTAATGAGTACAACCCAATTTAGGGCATTGTACTTGTATCCCAACTCTTCCTAGTGAAACCACTTCTCTTTCAAAAATCTCTCGACACTTCTCTCCTCACCCTAAAACTCGATTACCTAGGCACCTAAACCATGGCTTCTAAGCCTACCTTTGTTTAAGATTCTGAGATGGTATTAGAGCTTAACGCTCCTGGCCTGTGGGCCCACTCGATTCCGCTGCCCTATTGTGTGTCGTGCGCCCCGTGGCGCACGACCACCTTTTTTTCTTCCCGCCACGCGCTCGGGGCGCGTGGCGGTTTTCTACCCGCCGTGCGCCCCGAAGCGCGCGGCGCGTACCTACCTCGTCGCGGCGTCTTGGGAGCCCGCGCGCTGGCCCCGACCGTCGCCTCGTCGCGGCGTTTTGGGGGCCCGCACGCATGTCCTTCCTGTCGCCTCGTCGCGGCACTTTCGGGGCTCGCGAGCCGGCCCCTCCCGTTGCCTCGTCGCGGCGCCTTAGGGGCCTGCGCGCGGTCCCCTCTCGTCGCCCGTCGCGGCACTTTCGGGGACCTGCGCGGCTCCCTAGCACGTCACCCTTCAGGGCACAATGGGGGCCGCGCCCTTCCCCTCCCCTCTGTCCTACTTTCCGCTGCAGCAGCCCCAGCAGCTGCAGCCCCTGAAACGGCCACCGCAGCAGCAGCAGCTCCAGGAGCCGCCGCCCCAGCAGCAGCCCCTGGGGCCGCCCCAGTAGCAGCAGCCCCGGGAGCAGCCGCCCAAGCAGCTGCTGCCTCTGGAGCGGCCACCTCAGCAGCAGCAGCTTGTGGAGCAGCCGCCCCAGCAGCAGCAGCCCCGGGAGCAGCCGCCCCAGCAGCAGCAGCCCCTGGAGCCGCCCCAGCAGCAGCAGCCCCGGGAGCAGCCGCCCCAGCAGCAGCAGCCCCGGGAGCAGCCGCCCCAGCAGCAGCCACTGGAGCAGCCGCCCCAGCAGCAGCTGCCTCTGAAGCGGCCACCCCAGCAGCAGCAGCCCCTGGAGCCGCTGCTACTGCAGCAGCCACCCCACCAGCACCAGCCACCCCACCAGTAGCAGCATGTGGAGCAGCAGCAGCAGCAGCCGCCCCAGCAGCAGCCCTAGCAGCGGCAGCCACTGGAGCAGCCGCACCAGCAGCAGCCGCCCCTGGCCCCTGCAGCAGCCGCTCATGGACCAGGTGCAGCCGTGGGGGGTGAGTGTTGGGGTGCTGGTTGTGGGGGTGTCGGTTGTGCGTGCCGTCCCCTCCTCCTCCTCCTCCTTCGTCTCCCACTGCTACAGCTCTCGCTGAGGGGGGTGGATGTGTGGGAGACTGGGGTTTAGGGTTTAAGGGGGGTGGGTGGAGCTAGCGGTATAGCAGCGGGTGTGTGTCGGGGGGTGGGACTATGTGCGGGAGGATGAGCGGAGGTTGCCAGTCTGTTGTCCGCAGCACCTGTAGTCCGGGCGCTTAGTCCGGTAGCCCAGTGAGTTTGTTGCTGCGCCAGTCGCCCGAGGGTCCGTTGCCCGTCTGCCGCTACTTGAGCCGCGGGGCCTGTTACTCCTGTAGTCCGGGCGCTTAGTCCGGTAGCCACTGTGCTCGCCACTCCTGTTGCCCGTGTGTCTGCAGCTTCAGCCGCCGCCTTCTATCTCCTCTCCTCTCACTCTCCCTCCTCCTCCTCACTTGCCCGTTGTGACTACCACTAGCTTTGCTGATAATTGTGCACTTTAACTATTGCTTCTTGAACTTGTGCTCAGAATGTGTGGTGACATTGTGATCCACCCTGAGCTTGTACTGCTTTGCCTGCTCTGCTGATTACACCCCACTTTGGCTATGGGGGTGTGTCAGAATATATTTGCTGTCTAGCCTGCAGTGGGGTACTCTGTAATGAGTACAACCCAATTTAGGGCATTGTACTTGTATCCCAACTCTTCCTAGTGAAACCACTTCTCTTTCAAAAATCTCTCGACACTTCTCTCCTCACCCTAAAACTCGATTACCTAGGCACCTAAACCATGGCTTCTAAGCCTACCTTTGTTTAAGATTCTAAGAATTAGGACTTTCGACATTTGTAGTACGACGTTCGTCTCCCGTGACTGAAGCTGTACTATGCCTTGTCGTCTTGTTCGCAGGTTCTGATTATTGGCGACGGTGATGACGACTTCTCGTTGAAGTCGGTGCTCGCGTTGAACGAAACGTCCTGAGGAGCACATGTGTTGTCCGCAGCAACTATCCAAGAGCCAAGTGTCTCTTTCGGATGGCTCGCTTTGAGCGATGGCGGCGTATGTCGGGTTCGGCTGAAGTGACTCGCGGCGAGGTGTGGTTGCGTCAAGTCGTTCTTCTGGTGAGTAGTGCGACGGTGATTCGGTGATGCAGGAATCTGTTGTCTTTGCCATGCAGTTGACGATGTTTCTTGCTCCTTGTGCAGGTTGTCCTGTTGGAGTCGTTGAGGTTTGAATCTTTGTCGTGGGAGTTGCTTGCGTTGAAGTGACTTGGGAGCTTGAAGGCCGAAGTTGTCGCTGTGGTGTTGTCGATTGCTGGCGATACGGGCAGTGCGTACGAGGATGCCCTGAAGTCTTGCAGATATGGCAAAACGGAGGTACCGGCTTCAATTGTTGTTGCTGCCGATTGTTGTTGTTGTAGCGTCGCTGGGTGTGAAACGCGAACTCTGGTACTGACGTTTTCTTCTTATGTCGTTCTTCTTGCAGGTCCATGTTCTGCTGTTCAGCATGGATTTCGGCGCAGAGTGCTGCTTCGGAGATTCTCCCGTGTGCCTGTAATATGGCGCGAGTGGAGCGCCAGTGAGGGCCAAGACCACCGATGACAACCGTGACAAAGGCGTCTTCTGAAATCGATCCTCCACATCGAAGAAGCTTGTCGCGCAGTTCGCGGCAGCGACTGATATATGCCATGCCCTTCTCGCCTGGTTTCATTTCGATTGTTGTCAGCTGCGCCATTAACCGGCTTTGGTTTACGCTGTTTGTTGCTTGATACAGGTTCTTTAAGTGGTTGTACGCGAGCTCCGCGGAGTTACCGTAACCTCGGTAAGTCCTTATGTTCTGCTATTGAGTCGGGGTGATGTTCCTAAGTAGTATTGTGTACGCCATCATCGATTGATAGGTGTACTGCTGCTTCTCATACTACGTGCCGTTTGTTGGATATGGCAGGGACCCGTCGAAGAAGCCAAGGATCTGCGCTCCTTCCATCATCAGCTCGAATTCGAACGACCAGGTAAAGAAATCCTTCCCGTCGAAAGGTTTTATCGTTTGTAGTTTTAGAACATGCGCGAATTGCGACTGAACTTGTAGTGCGTCCAGTGCTCTTTCTTGTCCCGGTGCAGGTTGTGGTTGCGGCATGAAGCTGACGGAGCCGCGCTGGGGCTCGTACGGAGCGAAGGTAGGTTGTTGATGTTGATTCCCGCGTGCGTAGGATGAGCCATCGAGACTCATGGGCGTCACGTTGTTGTTGTTGTTGCTGTTGTTTGATTGCGCAGGTACTACTTGCTGATGCTGCTCGTAGAAGGACATGAAGGAGAAGAATTTCTCCATCATACTTGGATCGAAGCCCGCGCCTTGGTTTGCGGGTGTTTCCGTAGACCCAGCTGCTGGTCTAGTTGTTGTCCCTTCCTCTGTCAGTAGGCCAGAGGCAGGAGGTGGAGTAGGGGTAGTACCGGGAGAGCCGTTGGAGGAGCTCCTCTCCTTTCTAGCAGACATGTCTTCTTGATGTATTAAGTGTTGAAGAGAAATTTTTAACTCTAACCAGCTCTCATACCATGTTGGGCTGAACGCCCTAGGATCTTTAGTAGAGTTAAAGTCTGAGTAAATGATGTAGTAGCGGAAGCGTTAACAAAGAGATTCTGAACCACCTTGCGCTAGTATGTGAGGGCAAAGTAAGTTGATTAAAGCAAAGAGATACAGGAATATATATATGAGTACAGAGAATATGAAGAGACATAATTGTAACTGTTTTACTGTTGCGGTTCGATACAGTGCGACTCGGGCAACTGCTCAATGTCGAGTCAGTTGTGTGTCCTTGCTGTCGCGCTGCGTCAGGTCAAAGGTCGCTGACCTTTGACTTTCTCGTAACCTCCAGCGGTTACGTTAACCTCCGAGGGTTGACCCGCGGTGCTTCGATTTGAGCTGCTTCGCTTGTGTCTTGAGTTTCGACACGATAGAGGCGCTTAAGACTATTTGTTCCCAACAACAAGCAAGCTCACCCATTGGCCAACTTATTGGCCAATAGGGTAAGCTTTCCTCTCATCTCTCTTTTGCTCATTGTTTGTACTAGAGAGCCTCTTGGCTCATCATTCAATGTATCAATTCTAGCTTTCTAACACGTACCTCGTCCGATAGCTCATCCCATTATCCCATATACACACCCCTTTGCACTCTCGTTTCTGAAGTTGTGGCAGCAACTGGATTTTGTTGTCTTCCATCATGCTAAGTGGTAAACTTTCTACCTTTCCCCAATAGTCTGACCTCCGTAACTAGTTATCGGTAAGTTAACATGTACTTCCTGTCAGAATGAGGAATGAATGGTTCCATTGATGTTGGTTGGGGTACATATAACAAACCCTAACTTCTGTACCCCCTAAGACAAACCTCACTACAGGCTACAACATTTGACACACCCCCATAGCCTAAGTGAGGGGTGTCTAGCAAAATCAAAAAGAGTACGGTCACAAGACCAGTCCAAAAGAAAACAAAGCTCGGGGTGGATCACAACGTCACCACACACTCTGAGCACAAGCAACAGTGGCCACAAGGCCAGTCCAAGAGATCACAAGTATATATAGCAAGTGTACAGACGAAGCAGGCAATAAACTCAAGTCTACACATGACTAGAACCTGAGTCAACAAGGCCTAACTGCACACAACACCTCTGGTGGTCACAAGGCGGAAGCGCCTTGGTGAAGATGTCTGCAGTGTTGGCCTCGGACTCCACGAACTCAAAGCGAGCCTGTCCACGTCTCTGCAACTCTCGCAGAAGAAAGTACCTGACGTGAATGTGCTTCACTCTGCTCTCCAGTCGCGGCTCACGACAGAGGAGGATCGACGCCTTGTTGTCAGTAAACAAGGTCGGTGCAGAGCTCGGCCGCTCACCAAGGTCGGCGAGCAAGAAGGTCAACCACCGCAACTCCTGTGCCGCCATGGCACCAGCGTAAATCTCAGCCTCAGCTGTAGAGGTCGAGACAGAAGAGGAGCGCGTGGAACGCCAGGAAACAGCTCCAGAACCCAGACTGAAACAGTACCCCTGAGTAGACCTGTGAGTCTCAGCGTCGTCAGCGTAAGAGGAGTCACAATGACCAGTGAGTACGACAGACTGCTGCCCTCCAAGAACTAGCCCCACGCCTGATGTAGTCGCTAGGTACTTCGCCACCCTCACAGCTGCCGTCCAGTGAACAGGATGGTGTCTCCCTGGCGCAACAAAGCGCGCAAGGATGCTGAGAGGGAAGGCGAGGTCCGGGCGAGTACAAGTCATCAGGTACATGAGGCAACCCACAAGCTCTGCGTAGGGACCACTAGGCTCAAACGGCTCGTCAGGAAAGGGACCAGTGAGTCAGTGGTCAACAGCGAGAGGTGTGCGCTGTACGGTGGAGTGCTGAAGCCCGAACCGCTGAAGGACCTGCTGCACCATGTGTGACTGTGAGAGTGTAATGGTGCGAGCGGCTCTGTCCCTGGTGATCTGCAGGCCAAGGTAGTGGCGCAGCTCACCAAGATCAGTGCACGTGTGTCTCTTCTGCAGTTCGGACTTCACGTCTGCCAAAGCAACCCTGTCCGGAGTGGCGAAAACGAGGTCGTCGACGTAGACCAGGACAAAGAACGGTGTGGAGCCACGACGAACGAACAGCGACGGGTCGGCAGAAGACGGCTGGAACCCAAGGTCAGAGAGGGTAGAACGCAGAGTGTCGTGCCACTCACGAGGGGCCTGGCGAAGACCGTAAACAGGTCGCCTCAGCCTCCACTGGGTCCCAGGAGGGAAAGTGCCAGTGAAGGCCGAGGGACGACGTAACCAGACCTCCTCGTGTAGGCTGCCCTGAAGGAAAGCAGTGGAGAAGTCGAGAGAGTGTAACTCGTAGTCTCTCTGTGCTGCTACGTGTAGTAACACCCGAAGAGTGGTCATCTTCGGGGTAGGTGCGAAGGTCTGAAAGAAGTCAACTCCCTCGCGCTGACTGAAACCTCTAGCCACGTAGCGCACCTTGAAGACCGGGGGAGATCCCGGTGGCCGCTTCACCCTGTAGATCCACATGCCGTCGACTACGTTCGCCCCAGGGGGGGGAACCTCATCGACGTAGGTGCCTGTGGATCTGTAGGAGGCCATCTCTGCGTCCATGGCAGCTCTCCACTGAGAGGCCCAAGGCCCTGACACTGCCTCAGCGTAAGTGCGAGGAGTCGGAATGTCAAGGGCGTCGGGGTCACCCTCAGGGGCGAGGAGCATGGCACAGAGATGAGGGGAAGCGGCCGCCAGGAACTCTAGCTCAAACTGCCTGTCCTCTAGGTCGTCACAGCCAAGGGCAGACACACCCCTGACGGCCAGAGGACTGGTAGGAGGAGCAGCCACAAGCGTGGTGGCGTAGTCAAGGCGACGTGTAGAGGCAAAGTCAGTAACTGCGGCAGTAAGAGCGGACACAGAGGACACAGAGGCACGAGGGTGAGTAACAAGAGAGGCGAGAACACGAGAGAGAACAGGACGGTACGTGCGGTAGTAGTCAGTGACGGGAGCAGGGAGCGACACGGTGAGGGCCGACTCAGGAGGAGACAGAAGCACAGACTGAGACGGACGAGGTGGACTAGAACAAAGTAAGGCAGTACGAAGGTCAGTGAAGGGAAAAGGAGACGAGGGACGAGCACGAGGGGAGCGACGAGTAGCCCAAGAACGAGACGGAGGAGGAGAGGACAAAGGCGGAGAACTGGAGAAAACAGTGGGGGAGGAGTCAGGCGGAGGAAACGTGAGACCGTAGACAGGAGGAGAGGCGGAGGAGGGAGGAGAAGGGGAGGGGAGACCAAGGGCCCGAAGACCCGAGACAGGAGGAGGAAGTGGCTGCTGCTGCTGCTGCTGCGACTGCTGCTGCTGCGGACGCGGCTGCTGCTGGGACTGCTGCTCCTGCGGGTCCAGCTGGTGCTGCTGCTGCTGCTGCTCCTGCGGCTCCAGCTGCTGCTGCTGCTCCTCCAGCCGCTGTAACTCCCTCTCCTCTCTCTCCAACGCCAGCTGCTCGTCACGGGCACAGCGAACACGAGCCTGGTGCCTAGTCGGGTAGGGGTGGGGGGGCGGAGTAGTGTCCGAAGCAGCGGTAGCTCCAGAGTCCACCCCCGAAGAACCAGGCGCACCACCCCCAGAGGCAGCACTAACACCAGCTCCAGACCCAGGCTCACCAGAACTCAAAGGAGGCGCACTCTCACCCCCAGTGTCCGCGCGACCAGCACCAGCTCCCGGACGACAAGAGTCCTCTGCACCCACCGGGTCAGCTCCAACTCCAGAACCAGAAACTCCAGCTCCAACTCCAGCACCCCCAGAACCAGAAACTCCAGTGCCTCCTCCAGCTCCACCTCCTGCTCCAACACCAGCTCCACCTACAGCTCCAACACCAGCTCCAACACCAGCACCCCCAGAACCAGAAACCGGTACAGGAACAGGCGCAGCACCAACCTCTCGAGAGCTAGCACCAGCGGCACGCTGCGAGGAGGACTGTGGGGAGGGAGGCTGTACCGGAGGGGCTACCGAAGGAGGAGGGGTAGCCTGGGACACACCTGACGGGGCTGGGCCAGGGGGGGGAGGCTGTACCGGGGGAGCAGGAGGGGGAGCGGCAGTCAGGAAGAGGGGGGGAGGAGGAACCGGGAGACCTCGACTGGGGTACCTGACGTAGTACGGAGTGGACTCCTCGAAACGGACGTCACGAGAGTCAAAGAACCGGTGAGAGGGAGGGTGGTAAAAGGTGAAGTCAGAGGAGTCCTCAGGGAAACCAAGGAAGACACAGAGGACGGCACGAGGCGAGAGCTTGTCCGCGGAGGTGTCGCGGACAAGAGCCAAGCACCCCCAGACACGAAACCGCGACGCAACACCAGGGGACCCTGTCCAAAGACTGGTCGGTGAAACCTCTGGTCGAGAGACACGTGGCCAGAGGTTCAGCTGGTGCGCGGCGTACTTGACCGCGTAGGGCCACAGAAAATGGGGGGCACAGGCGTGAGTCAAGGAGGTGCGGGCGATCTCCATGACCAGGCCTATGCGGCGCTCAGCAACCCCATTCTGCTGTGGGGACTCTGGAAGCGTCCAGGACTGACGAATGCCCTGCTCGCGACAGAATCCAGCGAGAATGCCGAAGCGAAACTCACCCCCACGGTCGGAGTGGAGACAGCTGACACGACGACCATGAGTGTCCTCGGTGGTGAGCAACCACCTGATCAGCGTAGAAGTCACCTCAGACTTCTTCGCCAGAGGGAACACTGTGGTGTAGCGGGAGAAGTCGTCAACGACCACCAGAAAGTAACGCTCACGCTCAGGGCCTAGACGAGGGGCGGGGCCCCAGACGTCCAAGTGAAGCGTCTCAAAAGGCTCGGTGGCCGGACGAAGGGAGGAGGAGTGAGGGGTGGCGCGCAGCCTACCCTCGACGCAGGGACGACACGGCGGTGCAAGCGAAGGCGGCAGCGACGGCAAGACACGTGGGAGGCCTAGGACAAGATGCTGACTAGACATAGCGCGCAGACGAGGAAGGGACGGGTGCCCCATCCGGTGGTGCCACAGAACGGTGGGGTGGGCAAGCGACCGGCAGGAGCACGACGCAGCGACTGGAACAGACGTAGGAACCTGACACGACACAGACACCTGGGGGGACGAAGCAACCTGGTGAGACGCGGGGACCCGAACGAGGGGGGGGAACCGGGGGCAGTGGCAGTAGGTGGGGCTGCTGGTGCGGCCGCTGGTGCTGGTGCTGCTGCTGCTGCTGCGGCTGCGGCTGCTGCTGCTGCTGCGGCTGCTGCTGCGGCGCACGCGGGCCAGTGTGAAGAGTGTAGAGACCCGAGCCCGGCTCAGCAGTAAAGGTAGCAAGAGGCTGGTAAGAGTCTCCGTCAACACACACCGCAGTCTCTCCAGAAGGCTCAAACCACACACCCACGTGCTGACTCACGAGGGGTCGCACGCCCACCAAGTTCCGGGAGAACGAGGGGACGTGAAACCCAGTGAGAGACCCGGAGGGAGCAGCAGGACACGGTAAAGTGGTAGTGTGACGTGCAGTGACTGGTCCCGTAGTGGGATCAGCCAACGCTACAGAAACAGGCGCAGGAAGTGGTGTAAGTGTCGTGCTGTCCCGGAAGAAGCAGTGGGAGGCTCCAGAGTCCAGTGTGAACGACAGCGAAGCGTCGTCTGAGGTAGTCGCTGGTCTAGAGTCTACACAAGTACCTACACTAGCAACAGGCAACTGAGCAAGACTAGCACCTAAGCTAACAACACCAGAGTAAACAGAGTCAGAAACACTAGAGTCAACAACACCATACATAGCATGAGGAGCACTAATCAGATCAACTAACTGCTCAGCAGACATGCCCCACAGAGCGGAGCCGTAGCGCTGAACCAGAGGAAGCCAGTCAGGAGCAGGACCGCCAACCCCGTAGGTCAACCGGACCGTGTCAGTGAGGTGAGCAAAGCACTGACCAGGGGGGTGAAAGCGGCCACAAGGGTGGCCCCGACGAGGACCTGTCTGAACCTGGTAGGGGCAGGGAGGGTAAGCCGCACCGCGCTGGGGCTGACGCAGCCCCGACCCCGGAGCCAGCTGCTGACGCTGCTGCTGCTGAGGCTGCTGGGAGGAAAGGGGCTGGTGCTGCTGCTGAAGGTGCTGCTGACGCTGAGCCTGGTACCACGCCGCTGCTCCACCTAGCGGGGCCGGCAGTACAGGAGGCGACTGACGAGCTCGGGGGTCGCCGCCACCAGCAGGTGCAGTGGAGTCACCAGCCGCTGCACGAGGGGTCTCTCCAGACGCTGCACTCCCACCACCGCCAGTCGCAACAGCACCCCCACTACCTCCGCTACCTCCGCCTCCACCTCCACCAGAACCACCTTTCTTGCCCCCCCTGCCGCGGGTCCGCGACGCAGTTGTAACAGCAGCCGCAGCCGCGTCAGTAGCGGCAGCGGCAAGAGAGGCAGTGAAGGTGGGTAACTGCGGGACTGTGCACCCGTGGAAGAGTGGGGGGGACACAGTACCAGAGGCGGCAGCTACCGAACGAAGGTTGCTCTCGACGTCCTTGAGTGCAGACTCAAGGACCTCGATAGTCAGCTCACTAGGGTGCTTCAGCAGAAGCGCGTCACGAACGGAGGCAAGGCGGTCAGGGAGGCTAGTGGCGATGAAATAGACAGTGATCGCCATGGGGGGAGGAAGCAGTGCAAGCTGTGCCTCAGTGCAAGCAGCGCGGTAACTAGCGTCGAGCGAGCGGAGGTGAGCGATCAAGTCAGCAGAGCGCTCAAACGAGGCAAGATCAGGAAACAGGAACGGGAGGAAAAGACGGCCAAGAGAGATAGTAGCGGGAGTAGAGTAGCAGGCCTTAATCGCAGTGAGGTACGCAGCAGCGGTGCGAACCTGAGTTAAGTGGACCTCCTCAGACTCAGGGAGGAGGCTGCTGAGTGCGATGCAGGCCGCAGCGTCACGCGACGTCCAAGCCGTCCGGTCAGCGCGCTGACGGGCAAAGCGAGCCGTAGCAGCGTCGTCAGGAGCAGGGCCTAAAGCTGTAGGCTCGGGGGGCTCGGGGAGGTCACCAGTAGCGTGTGACTAGAGGGTCTCGCCCCCCTGGACCTGACTCTCTAACAGGCGGCGAGCGCGAAGAAGCCAGACGGAAAAGTCAAGTGGTCTACCGTCAGCGTCGAAACGAAGAACTCGCGGAGTCGCCATAGTGAGAACTAAAGCGAACGAACAGGCGAGTAAGAACCGGGGGGGAAGAGGACTCAGTTGCAGCGGAAGAGCGGGCTAGGGCGACGGGCCAGGACGTAGGGAGGGCAACGGGCCAGAGCCTAGGGTAGGGCGACGGGCCAGGGCCTAGGGTAGGGCGACTGGCCAGGGCTTAGGGTAGGGCGACGGGCCAGGGCTTAGGGAGGGCGACGGGCCAGGGCCTAGGGTAGGGCGACGGGCCAGGGCGTAGGGCAGGGCGACGCGACGGGGGAAAGGGCGGGAGCGACGCGACGGGGCAGGGCGACGCGACGGCACAGGGCGACGCGACGGGGCAGGGCGGCGCGACGGGGCAGGGCGACGGGACGGGGCAGGGCGACGCGACGGGGTAGGGTGACACGACGGGACAGGGCGACGGGACGGGGGGGGGAACAGGCGGGCACGACGCGACGGGGGGAACGGGCGCGACGCGACGGGGGGGAAAGGGCGTGACGCGACGGGGGGAAAGGGCGCGACGCGACGGGGGGGAGGGGAAAGGGCGCGAGGCGACGGGGAGAAAGGGCGCTAAGCGACGGGGGAAAGGGCGCTAGGCTCGGTACTAGGCGCGGTAACAACGGAACTGGTACGAACGAGAGGTAGGATCAGGCTCGGGAGGTACGAACGGAGAACGGAGGAACGGGATCCCACAGGATCCTAACCTAGCTGATACCATGTCAGAATGAGGAATGAATGGTTCCATTGATGTTGGTTGGGGTACATATAACAAACCCTAACTTCTGTACCCCCTAAGACAAACCTCACTACAGGCCACAACATTTGACACTTCCTACCTACCTGCGTACAGGCAAAGCTCGCCCAGTCACCAACTTGCAAACACCTCTTTCCAATTTATTCCTTGCCTACAAGTTTCTCCTCGGTAGCTGTTGATGTCCCTTTCCCCCTTCATCAGTCTCCACCACGCTACCTACCCTCTATTACCAACATAATTCCCTTGAGGAATAGCAGGGACCTCAGTTCTCATGATACCGCACGACTGCTGTGCCATCCAGGTCAAGCATCTCAGACGCTTTATCCACCATCTCAGCAAATCATGGGTATCGGTAATACTGGGGCAGTATCAAAGGAACACGAAAAATCCCACAGACTGTACTCAGGTGTTCATGTTATTGAAACACTGTCTTGCTAGTTTCATCATACCCAACACGCTATACCCTCCCCTCCCCTTGTTGCAGATATTTGCAAACCCTGCACCCAAACAGCCAGGCATTTCTCATGCGGCCATGGGAGACATTACTCACACCTAATCTCAACGCTCGCCTGCTGCTGCTGTTGCCGCTGCTGCTGCCACCGCTGCCGCCACTGCTGCTGCCACTGCTGCCGCCACTGCTGCCGCCATTGCTGCCGCCGCTACTGCAGCCGCTGCTGCAGCCGCTGCTGCAGCCACTGCTGTTGTACCCACCATGCTCATCTCCCTCTCTGTTCTCTTGCCCGCCCTTGTCCCCAGCTTCTCTGCCTTGCCTCCCCTTCCACTCCTGCTCCACGTGGCCTCCCCCTTCCACTTCCCCTTCCCTGTCCGCCCTGCTATGGACTGCTTCCCCCTCCATCAGAAGAATCATGGCAAGCAATTCCTATGCAGCTCCCTTTATGCACACTGTAGTCTCTCTCCCAAACAGCCCCGCATCTACTTCCGCATGCATGCCTCCCCTCTTCGGTCTTCCCTACCAGAACACAGCCACATCCCCCCTCACCTCACCTCCCTCTCCACCATCACTCCCTGCCAGCCTACCTGCCTATCAGTCTGCCTAAAGCATCGTTTCGAAGGCAACCCCCTAATGGCATCCACAGTTCTGTCAGCTTGGTCAGGGCAGTCAGCTGCTGCAGCCCATCATCCGTGACTGCTGTGCCATCCAAATCAAGCCTCTCAAGCCCTGTCAGCCTCCCCACATGCACCATTCCCGCATCCGTCACCCCCCCGCACCTAGAAAGCCATAACACTTTGAGAGAGGAGAGACCTGTCAAGTGCGAGAGGCCAGCATCGGTCACCTTGGTCCGGTGGAGAAAGAGGGTTTCGAGACTGGTCAAGGACCCAATCCCTTCTAAGGCACTGTCTGAGACGACAGTGCCATCCAGGTCTAGCTTCGCTAGCTGTGGCAGCCTGTAGAGGTGCTTGATGCCCTTTGCACTGAAGCCTGAGCTAGACGACAGGTCAATGCGCGTCAGGTGGGTCATGGTGGACACAAGGTGGAGGATGTCGCGGGAGAGGCTGTTGAGATGACTCAGCGTCAACTGGGTCGCTTGTGATGCCGCCTTAATCGCCTGTAGCAAACAGGTGGAGAGGGATTACATGACAATGACAATACATGGCATGTGGAACAATGAACGCCCCGGGAACAGGATCCCAACACTCACCTTCAATGCTTTCTTCCGATCGCCTTCGCTCTCCCTCATTTCCAGCTCAATATTCAGCTTCATGTCTTGAACGTTCTGCCATTCCTTACAAGCTGCCAACTCCTTCATGACACGTGGCCAGTTCAACTCCTGCACCTCCCTTCTCCTCTCCTCCCTCTCCCTTGCCAACTCTTCTTTGATTTCATCCATTTCCCTTCTCACTATCGCAAACAGCCCTCTAACTGCCTCACTAAGCTCATTCACCTCCCGTTCCGCAGCCATCATCTCAATTTGCACCCAAAAAGCGTTCAAATAGGTTGACAAATGCTTCGTTTCTGCCAAGGTAGCTTCAGCCCTGAAATGTGGACAGGAGTGGGGAACAGTGGACTGGATGCAGAATGAAGTGAAGGGAGGGAGGCCATTGGTAGCAGGAGAAGAAGGGGAGTGGTCGTGGGAAGAGGAAGTCACGTTGTGTATTGAGTGGACAGGAGCAGACAAATGGAGAACATATACATGGGGGGGGGTGAGAGAGGGAAGGGGGGAGAAGGGGGGGGTGGAGAGGGTCTAGGTAGGAAATTGGTAGGAGATATGCTTGCAGGTTGTCAATGCTCGAAGGAAACACAAAGGGCGACAGGGGGAACGGTGGGAGTAGGGCAGAAAAATTAAGATGCGATCTGCAATATACGCTGCCCCTAGCGAGCGTCCAGCGTCTTACGTACAGACGCCAGCGTATATACGCTGGACGCTCGCCTTTCTGAGCGTCTATTCCCACATAAAGGGACAAGTAGCAGCAGCGGAAGCAGTGGGAGGAAAGAGCCAAGAGTACCACCAGATAAAAGGATGGGAGAAGCAGCAGCCGCGGGGGAAAGAGCAAATCCAAACCGGATCGGTTGCTTTCTCAAGCATATGGTATGGTGCAGGTGCACTGAGTGCAAGAGAGGTGACGAGGCCATAGATGGAGACGAATCGAGTATATGTGCATCGGGGTCAAGCGAATGCCAAGTGAAGAATGGACGAAAAGGAAACCAAAGGTCCAAGAGGGAGCAAGTTTGATAAAACTCGCGACAAGTGATATGACAGACGTGAATCCAAGGTCGAGGGTGCGGATTTGGGGAGATCAGGGAAATTGGAAGAATGAGCCAGCTCGATGAGACTAACGGGCAACGGAATGACAGTGAGATGTGAATCCAACAGACAGGTGCGAGACAAGGGCGAAAGAGTTGGAAGGAGAGAGCAGAGCAAAGTGATGGAAGCGGATGAAAGAGCACAGTGTGGTGAGAGGTGGATGCAGATAGGCACGCAGTAAATGGAAGCAGCCACAGCAAGGGAAGCACTCGGAAGGAACGGCGAGGCATGCTAAAGGGCAAAAGAGTGCGGAGAGAAGAAGCCATGATGCGGCGAGTACGGACCTCGTGAGGGGGAGTGACGAGGCGAGCAAAGAGATGGATGGCGTGGGCCGGCGCACGTCGTTAGGTGAACCCAAGAATGGATTGGATTGGGCTGGAGCACCCGAACGGAAAGCGCAATCTGGTGGCAAGAGAAACGAACAGGCCGAAAGTGCATGAATTCCGTCAAAAGCATTGATTCTTATGACAATGGGAGGAAGAAAACGGTTGGTTAAGAAAGCAAGGAGGAAAAAGAATAAACAAACGAACTCGGTTACAGAAGTAGTAGCAGAAGACGAGAAGATGGGGCAGAAGAAGATTGGACATGAGAAGATGAAACATGGAAGTGAATTGAAACATGGAAAGCGCAGCAAGCCAGGGGTGGAAGGGAAGGAGCAGGACGCAACGGTAGGAAAAGTGAGGTAGGGAAAGCACAGGAGAAGAGGGGCAGCGGCGAGGCACCAGTGACACAACGGATGAGGGCTGTGCGTACCTTGTGTGTGGAAGGGCGGCAGCGGCGAGGAGGCCGTTGGGAGGCAGGAGCTTCTCAGCAGACAGATTGACAACGCTCAGCATCCAGGGGGGAGAAACGTTGGGAGAAAGATTAACGCCACACGAGGTAACGGAGAGGGAAGTGTGCTAGCAGGAAGATCTTGGCGGGAGTGGAAAAAATAACTCGATGCTGATGCTGGCTTACAGCGAGGGAAGGGAGAGGGGGCAGGGAGAGGGCCGATGGCAGAACAGGATGATGAAACGAGGGAGGCATGTCACCTCCGAGGTGCCATGAGTCATGCATAGCACGCGCTACGCCACTCGTCATCCGCTCGCCTCGCACGCCCATCCCGCCATCTCTCGATGGGATACAAATTTATTGCACCGTTCGCCTCTCTCGATCCCATTTCGCCAGTCCCTTGTCGTTCGAAGTCTAACCAATCGCATCGACGAGCCGCGCCCAGCACTCCATCGCGGGTACTATGTTTCGACGGGGTGGATACTGTCCATCCAGTGAAAGCTACATCATGCCTATTCGCGCCTCATACGAACCAAGGGTAAACGCATCCCCACAGCGTCAACCTCGCCGTGGCGTGACGTGACGGTATCATGACGTGGCACGGCGACGGTGCCACAGCTGAAAGTTCTCGACCGCACCGAATTGACATGCAGTGCTTGCGTGCTGTCATCGAATGGAAAACATTTGGGGAGTGACCGTGAACCTTGGCTTAACCGTCGTCTCCAATGTGCTCTATAAATCGACCGCGCGACGTTTCCAATACGTCCTCTTAATAAATAAATATGGCTGTCATAGGAGTTTGATTTGCAGTGACTGGAGATTTCATCATTAGGGGGCTGTTCGCCAGCACCAATGCGCAAAAAAACATGGGAACCGACGGGATCAGGAAGGTGGGTCTCGCCTTCCTGATCCCGTCAGTTAGGGTTCGTTTACCTCCGTCAGCCTAGTCAGCCCGTAAAAAAGGTGCCGAGCCTCCCCAACCGTCCAAACCAACAATCAAAGTGGGTGTCTGGCGAACACCCCCATTTGTCAATCAAAACGAACTGCTCGACGGCATATGGAAGCGGGGACGCAACTTCGTCCCCAGGCAAAGTTCCATCCCCAAGCCATGCCATCGCCATGCTGCGTTTTTCGAAGCACAGCGATGGCACAGCCGTCACATTGCCGTTCAAAGGGGATTGGGGGGAAGGTGGGGACAGAGATTCCCGACGCGGTTGCGAAATTTCGCAACCGCAGGCGCAGAAGTTTCTTGAACGGCATTACGGCCAAACCTCGGAGGTGGGTTCCGCCTCCGTTTCCAGATGCGGTCTGTGAAGAATCAAGACTAGAAAGTTTAGAATGAAAAAGAGGGGCGTTCACTAGCAAGCAGTTGAGTACATATAGGAAACCCTAAGTTGGGCTGTACTCACTATTGAGTACCCCACTGCAGGCTAGACAAACATAACATTCTGACACACCCCCATAGCCAAAGTGGGGTGTAATCAGCACAGCAAGCAAAGCAGAACAAGCTCAGGGTGGATCACAATGTCACCACACATTCTGAGCACAAGTACAAGAAGCAACAGTTTAAAGTTTACAACTATGAGCAAAGCTAGTGGTAGTCACAGCGGGCAAGTGAGGAGGAGGAGGGACTGTGAGAGGAGAGAAGATGGGAGACGACGGCTGAAGCTGCAGACACACGGGCAACAGGAGTCAAACTGGCACAGCGGCTACCGGAACAGCGCTCCGGACTACTAAAGTAACTGGCTCTGCGGCTAAAAGTAGCGGCAGACGAGCAACGGACCCACGGGCGGCTGGCACAGCTGGCTGCAACTGGGCTACCAGAGCAACTCCCCGGACTACAGGTGCTGCTGGCGACACGACGGCAACCTCCGTTCATCCTCCGCAAACAGTCCCACCCCCCTCGACACACACCCCCTGCTTCACCCGTAGCTCCACTCCCCCTTCACCCCCCTTAGTACCACTCCGACGGCTCCAACAGGTCCACCCCCCTCAGCGGCAGCTGCAGCACTGGGAGACGGAGGAGGAGGAGGAGCAGGGGACGGTACACAGAAGCTGCACCCCCATACCCCCCACCCCCAAACCCTAATTCAGGAGAACGGGCAGCAGCAGGGGTGGGGCGCCATCAGAAGCACGGGGGACAGCGGGCAGCGCAGGGTCAGCGAAGAATGGGCCGCCCACGGGCCTGGCACAGCCGCCCGAACCGCGCGCAGGCGGCCCAAGCCGCGCGCGGGCCTGGCGCAGCCCGTACGGGCCGCGCGCAGGCTGTACGGGCCGCGCGAAGGCCACGACGGGCGACGCGGGGCGACGCGCGCGTCCCCGTCGCCCGTCGCAGCGCCTCCCGGGAGCGACGCGCGGAGTGATGGGGCAGAAACCCGCCGCGCGCCTCGGGGCGCACGGCGGGCAGAAAACCGCCGCACGCTCCGAGCGCGCGGTGGGATGAAAAATCCGTTGCACGCCACGGGGCGTGCAACACAGAGAGTAGCAGTAGCAGCGGAAGCAATGAGGTGGTGAGCCCACCCACAGGATCGACCCAAGGGGATCGACCTGCTCTGATAGCATGTAAAGAATCAAGAGTAGAAAGTTTACAATGAAGAAGAGGGGCGTTCACTAGCAAGCAGTTGAGTACATATAGGAAACCCTAAGTTGGGCTGTACTCACTATTGAGTACCCCACTGCAGGCTAGACAAACATAACATTCTGACACGGTCGCGATGCCGATGCCATCTCTTTCATTTCAAATTACGATTTCCTGGCGAACAGCACCTAGGGTTGGATCATTAGGGCTGGGTTTTCGTCAAGGTCGCGTTTGAACTCATCTGGTATCATGGGGTTACATTACAACGCAAAATGACTTGCACATTCCCCCCAGCAGCCTCAATGAAACATCTCGACCGTACCAGACCGCGATGACTTCAATTTGAACCCTGTATTCGAAGTGTTCGGTTCGGGCTTCTTGTTTCGCCCTGCTACGCACAGTGACGCGAAACCTTATGGGCCGAATTCGCGAACCTGGGTGTTGGTTAGCCCCTCGAAATCTCTTGGTTCGGACATGCAAATCTTGGCGTGAAATTACCACAGCAACATTTCCTAGTTAGCACATGAAACGTTGCTGGCAGGGAAGTAGCAGCCTTAGTAGGCTAGGAAAACGAGGATAGAGTACTCTATGGAGCTCTCTGGAAATTGCACTATGACTTCACAATTTCACAGTACAATTTTATAGAGCACATTCAAATATCGAGTCGCACTCCCAAGTCGCGACTCTCTCTGAATTTCTCAATGGTAACCCAACCCCTTTGAAATGAACCTGCCGTGAAATTCAGAGAATTATTGCGGTACGGGATTGGACGGCGAGCTTGGTTACGGGGCTGTAATTTCGTCGGTGTTGTTGGCGAAGTCGGCGAGCGGTCGGAACTTCGGTGTTCTGCGTTTCGTAATTTTCGCGCGAGGGTTTGTGTTGGGCTGCGCGTCAGGACCTGGTCGCCCAGCTGCAGGTTGAGGCGTTTGACCAATACGAACAGTTGGTGAGGTGGCGCTTGACTTCCGCCCACCTGCACTGTACTTGGCAGCATTCGGCTGCCACACTGTTACATTACTTCCCCCTCCAAGTGGCGCCGTCCACGGCGCCAAACCGTGGCTGGTCAAATACCGATTCACAGCAGTTGCGGCACGGTCAAGGTGGCTCTTTGGTTCCCATGAGTCGTCACTAGTGGGCTGGTCCTTCCAATGAACAAGAAACTCGCGACCATGAGGTGTGTCGCGATGTGCAGCGATAGATGCAACCTCAAACAGGCCGAGGCTGCCTTTGAACATCGGTGGCAGTTGGCGTGTGGCTGGACGGTCGTGTGAAGGTGCACGGAAAGGGCGGAGGCGCTGGACATGGAAGACGGGGTGAATCTTCATATAGCTGGGCAGTTGGAGACGGTAGGTGACTGGTGAGAGGACTCGGGTGATGGTGAACGGGCCAATAAAGCGAGGGGCGAGTTTTCTGGTTGTGCCTTTGCGTAGGAGAGGTAGGTGGTCAGTGGAGAGTAACACTTGATCGCCAACCTTAAAGCGTATATATTTGCGGTGGGAGTTGGCATAGTGGGTCTGTTTGGCTTGAGCTTTAAGGATGGAGGTGCGAGCGGCATCAATGGCTGATTCGAGTGAGGTGAGGAACTCAAAGGCTGCTGGTGCGTGGGAGAGGTGGGGGGGTGGGGTCGTGGGGAGGCGGGGGTGTTGTCTGGTTGCGAGGTAGAAGGGTGGCTGGCCGGTGGAAAGGTGGGGTGTGCTGTTGTATGCGAGTTCGATGGCGGTGAGGTGGAGATCCCAATCAGTTTGGCGAGCAGTAACTTGTGCACGGAGGGAGTCTTCAAGCATGCAGTTCATCCGTTCGGTCTGTCCGTCCGTTTCAGGGTGATACGCGGTAGAAAACTTCAGCCGGGTTCCGTGAAGCTTGAAGAGGCTCTGCCAAAAGTTACTCAAGAAGCGGGGGTCACGGTCTGAAATGATGGCGGATGGGAGACCATGTAGGCGGACTATGTGATCGAAGAAGAGTCGGGCTGTTTCGGGTGCGGTGACGGTTGTGTGGGTAGGAATGAAGTGGCTCATTTTGGAGAGTCGGTCGACGACGACTAGGATAGCGTTGT